TCATCATGGCCAAAGTGTCAGCATCCAGAGACCCGGTGATCTGGAGACCAAAGAATCTCTGCATCTCAGCCAGCTTCTTGTTCACTGGGCTGATGCCCCTTCTGACAGCTGGACCCTCCTCCTCTGTGAGGTTGAAGAATTTCTTCAGGTAGTTCTGTCAAAAAAACATGAGATCTGAACAATATTCTTAATACCCCATAATCCTAGGACTTGTGTTACAATTATAGGACAAGCAAAGGAAACATATACATACCTTTGCAAAACTTTCATCTTGCCCAGTAATCTGAGATACTGGCATGCAGTAAACTGCCACTGCCAGGCCAAGCAGAATGCTCAGAGTCACAGTCTTCATGCTTCCTCGTTGTGTGCAACTTGTGTCTCAGTGCTGTGAGAAGCTGTTATATAGGCTGGAGTTTGGATGTGTTGAGTAACTACCTGCCGTCAGTGACTAACGAAATGCTCCTTTTATGGTGAAGAGGGGAACTCTGGCTTTGATTGCTCATGACGGTGTTACATGTGCAAAAAACCCCAAAACACTGATGTTGAATCATTGTTGCAGTTTGCAGAGGAAATTGGTCATGAGATAATTAGAACAGCCCCAACATCTGTAATTATCAGATTTTAGTTCATTTGATTTTTATTCAGATCTGACTTCCATATCCCACAGTGTGAAGAAAATCAAATTGATTTAATGATTTTATGAAGCTCACAGAAGCTCAGCTTTCAACTTTATGAAAGTTCTAGAAATAACATTAAAACTATTCCTGTTTTCAAGCTCTTGTGCAGAATTGACTTTATAGCTGATTTAAAGCAGATTTAAACATATTTGAGGATTTTCTTTGTGTGTATTTGTTCCAGAATTATTACTATTTTTATCACTTTATTGTAATTTAGTTTCCAGAGCTAGTTTAATTCTTAGCTGTAATTATTTAAAAATTATTTTCTCAGTGGTAAATGGCCTGTATTTGTATAGCGCTTTACTTAGTCCCTAAGGACCCCAAAGCCCTTTACACTACATTCAGTCATTCACCCATTCACACACATATTCACACACACATTCACACATGGTATTTGGTATCTGGACTTAATAATCTCAGAACAGTTCTTGTCACATTAAACACTTTCACCTGTGTTTTCTTGTAATGGATGTGTTAACATAAATTTAATATTCTGTCAAAGACTCAATAGAGGAATTGAAAGTGTTTTTTTTACTATGAACACTTTGGTTTTTGCACGATCCAACATGATTCCAAATGAAAAGAAGTATTTTGCCAGGAATTGGTCATGGAGCGTTTCAAGTGCTGCACATCACATACAGGAAAGGATGATTAATGTTGACATTGTCAGCATTTCTATTATAAAAACATTCAAGTCAGTTTATTCTACACATTCAATCGTGCCCAACCGCACAAAGTTTTGGAAACTGAAACTTTTTTTTTCTGTGAGTCGACTGCAGGTGGGTGTTTTCCACCTTACCTGTAATTATCCCCAAACACTTTGTGTCAGTGTTATAGGAAAACTACATTTCTGTCAGTGTTACACAATACTGGACACAGGGATGAAGAGTTTTGAATTTATAAAGTAACGTTCAGCCTCAGGTAAATTAGGCCACACACACACACACACACACACACGCACGCACGCACACACACACAGTGAATATGTTTCAACATAAAAGCAAAGATATTTTTTTTAATCAGGAAAATATCAAATTTTCTTTGCTAAGTAAAAAATAAATCCCTCTGATGGAACGACACGAGCTTAAAATAAATGTTACATTTGGCTGAATAGCTCTATATCACATGTTGATGTTTGTATAGAGAGATTTAAAATTAAAATTAGCAGCAAAATTAGATTAAAACACACATTTCAAATCATGAAAACTGTACAAATTCCAATGTTACATCACTGTATTACACACTGAGGTAAGACTAACCACACACTAACCACTTCTCTATTTTCTGTTCGATACATTGTGGTTATTACTGGACGTAAAAGTTTGTGTATGCATACACAGCACCGTCAAGCTCCAGGGAAAGCATTACTTCACTTATCTCCTCTCTGTCACTGTTTCATTGCCTTCCTTCACTTCACATTCCAGCAGCTCATTAACACGACTGATGGAGTGCACACGTTTGAAGTTGGAGTCGTATTTGTAGTCCAAGTTTCCTTTGAAGAAGTGCACAGATCCTGTGGGGAAATCAATATTCATTTAGAATTTGGAACTTAAAATGTATTGTGGCAAACTGTGTTTGCTGTATGGGGCAAGGACTGTCTGTGTACAGTGCATTCAAAAGTATTCATAATGAAAAGGTTTAAGTACCTTGGATAGTACTGCCTTGGTTATAAACCTTTATACCTTACATCTTTTTTTTACTCTATGTCTATATGCAAGTATTTTCCAATCACAGTTAGTGAAGATATTCTATTAATCTGAGAGTCAAACAGCAAAGGAGCAGAAAAATATCAAGTGTTAGTGTAAATGTACTGTAAATTTTGTTGGATTGAATTTCTTTTTATGAGAAATTGACATTTGCAAGTACCATCATAGAAGACAGCAGCATCTACAGGCGTTGGGATCTCTGGCCACTGATCCTCAACAGACATTGGTGATCCCTCCATCAACCTTTGTTCCTCGTTGTACCTACATTATCACATATAATAATAAAATATAATAGTGATTTTAGAAAAGCAGAGATTAATGTCAGTATTTTCTTGTTTATGGATGACAACATTTCCATGGGAAGTGTGATAAACTACATGACTACTTTACTTAAAGCACCGTTTTGATGACAAATAGTCAAGTTGGTGACAACAGTTGATTCTGCAACCACTTGTACTAGAGATGTGTAATTTTGTATTACATCAAAGCGTAAGCAGGAAGCCTGTCTGGTCTAGACTGGTTCTCACACAATGATGTTCTGTTTCTATGTGTGAAATAATAACAGTACTCACACATAGCCATACAAAATTCTGTAAAGTAAATTTTACTGTTTTTTTTTTAAATTTTCAACAGAAGAGGACAGTCTGGCTCTCATATATCTGATTGCTCTTTCATCTACTATCAGGAACACCCATCTATGTAAGATGCCAACAGTGGAAATAGTTTCCTGTCATCTCATTGCATAAAGGTGATTCCAGTACATAAACATGTCTCACACCTCTCCATCTACATCAGTCAGTAAAGATTAAATGAAATGGTTAAAGATCAGACAAGTCTTGCTACAGCCACAATCAAAAGTTTAAGACCACTTGTGAAATGACAAAAAAAATCATACTTTGCATATTTCAGTTTAAGCGTTGTTTTCAATAAATTACACGCTCAAAAATTTTTTTGTCTCACTCCCATTTCTTCTTGCTGCATGCTGAAGCTCCACTAGGAGCCTTATTAATATCCAACCGTGCAAAATAGGATTTTTTGCCATTTTACAAGTGGTCTTAAACTTTTGATCGTGGCTGTATATTGTTTTTAACTATTTTATGTATGGTGATCTTTCACGTTTTGAAGTAGGTGGGTGGTCAGCATAAAGACTGAAAACGGGACTAAAGAGCTTTATGATCTTACATACCTCCAACACTCGTCACCAGTGAAGAACACAGTATAGCCCTCATCTCTGAAGTGAAGAGCAGCATCTACAGATTTTATTCTGGAAGGGAAGCCCAAGGTTGAGATGCTTCTAGGGAATCCTTCCTCAAGCTTTAACTGCCTCAGCATCCAGTACTGATTACCTGAAACAAAAACACTATAATAACACATGTACACATGTATTTTAAATCTACTGCCAGACACTAAACCGATGCTTTTGTAGATGGGTTTTTTTTTACCCCTTTTTGTGTCTTTACCTTTAAAAAACACAACAACATTTTCCCACGTATTCTCGTAAATGGCGTCCAAGTTGGCCGGTACAGTGTCTGGCCAAAGACTGCTAATCAAGGAGACACGCGTTTCCTCAAATTCAGGATGTTTGCGCCACATAAACCTGAAAAGCAGGAAGGCTATCTCAAATGAATATTCAGTTTTTCAGTTCAGTTTTCCTGTAATCCTCGGACCAAAGAGACACACTGAGAGAATTATGTCCAGGACTGCACAGATTTACATACCTGTCTTTGAAAAACAAAACTTCCTGTTGTAGTTCTGTTACTGCATCAAAGGACAAATACGGATCACATTTTGTAGGTGTTTTTGGAGGAGGCCTTTTTGAGGTCAGTGAAGTAAAATTGGGATTGACTCCTGTACACAGCAGAGAGGAATAGAAAAGGACACTTGATTACCCCTGAAAATAAAATATTGTAAATATCTTTTTTTAAAGGAAGAAAGGAAACAAAGAAAAAGGAAACAAGAATAAAAAGAAAATTACTTGAAATGTTTGTTTTACTGTTTCTGTCATATGTTTTACACCATGACGTCATTTTGCCATAATCATTTCAATCCGTTGTTCTTTAACCAAATTGTATTTAATCTTATAAGAAAACAAAATAAAACAATTGTTGTAATTGTCTAATAATGTCTAAAACTAATAACAATAATAATAATAATAATGAGGATTAAAAAATACTTAAACTATTGAAAAGAAACAGAATAATCTGAAATATAAGATATGAACGGATATTAAATAACTGATGGTGGCCAGTTTATAATGGTTTTGAGCAAATCAATATCACTGCAAGTTTTTGTTACACATAACAAAATTAAGCTTATGTGTGATTTCACTAAGGAAGATCTGTAATCACTGATCTGGCTGCTTTACTGGGTGATGAGCTTCTTTTCTGTTGTTTACATGTCTACAGCTTTCCCACACTGTCAATCTCAATATTCATGTTCTTAATCTAATCCAATCATCTTCTTGCCTGCCTCCTTCGAGCCAATCAACCTCTGCTTTTACCCTCTTTCTTACAAGCCACCTCCTCCCCATCTCCATCACAGACACATTACTCAGACCTCCATTCAAGCCGGGGGGGGTCCTGTCCTAACATCTAGTCTAATCGCCAAATATATTCATTTCTCTATTTCAATAAATTATGTTCAATTCTTCTAAATGACCTCTTGTTATTGAATTATTGCTGGATTGGATGTTTAATGCAAAACCAGCCAAACTTCTTGTGGCTGTTCTTTTGTCAGTATTATTATTATTTTATGTACAAACTTTCCATTTTAAAACTTCAAAGTTATTCTGAGGCTAGCGGGCTTTGCTTAATATCTTGTAATGAAACTGCGGCTAATGGTAAGCAACATTTCTGAGCTCAAGCATCGAAAGTATCCAGCAGCAACTCACCATACAGTTTTTGGATGTTTTTGACATCATCAAAGGAGAGCTGGGGCTCATAGTTGGGGTCAAAGTTATATGCTGGGTACATGATAGCTCCAGGATCAGATGAGTGGGACAAGCCAAGCGCATGGCCAAATTCATGGATTGCCACAGCAAACAGGTTGATACCTGGAGCAGGAGCGCACATCATGTTAGTACTCGTGTGATGCAGGAAGGCTGTAACACAAAAGTCCCACCCATGTTTCACTAAATCACTCCAGGTTAGGTCAAATTAATGTTCTCATTCAGTCCACCAAATATGTAACTTCTGTAAAGTGCACTGTATTTCAGTCATACAGCATCTTGACAATAAGCAAACAATTATGACACACAAAACACACCTGCTGCTGCTTTCTTACAAAAAGTTCATAAGAATGCAGGTACCACGTTGATTCTGTCTAGCTTCATGTTCAGAGAAAAATTTGTGACACGTGTTTTTAAATTGTTGCTTTTTGGGGGGTTTTGCCCTGGTAATACCGGTAGAATTAAAACTCCAGTCTTCATCAGAATCAAAGTGGACATCTCCACCAATTTGAAGCCCAGGCATAAAGGCGTGAGCCAGGACTCCTCCTCTGCCATCAAAAGGTGAACTATCATTATGATCTGCAACAACACAGGGTGCTATTATTTTATTATTTAGTAAATCCTTTACGCCTCGCTTTACCATCTGCTTCATTATTATACATGGATGAGGAGAACAGTCTTTAAAGCTTACCTCCACTATAGAAAAAGATGTCAATGTCAGCCACGGTCATGATCCGGTTGCGAAATTTCAGAGGTGTGACGTTGGACCAAAGCTTCCATGCTCTTCTAAAGACTTTCTGAGCCTTCAGTGCTGGGATGGGGAGTTTCTTGCTAACTGTTCTAATGATAAAAATCACCATTAAATGGATTCACCTTTACTGATGTGACACATTGAATTTGAATGCTTTTTATGTTATTTTGAGAGACTGACACTCTTAAAATTCTGAACAGTCATTCATGGTATTCATTCAGCCCTACTTCAATCTGCCGTCTCCTGCTATAACATAGCTGAAACCTGGTAGATCATTTATTACCCTGCTCTTTTTTTTAACCAGTACTGAGATTTATAACCAAAACAGCATCAGACTCATGTTTGAGGCTAACATTCTGATCAGCCTCAGCTGTACTTTGTTAACAGCTAAGCTAGTTAATCTTGTGAAGTAGCATATTGACTACAGAAATCAGTTTTTTTGTTTCTAACCTGTAGCTGATCCTCTTCTTCTTCCAGCGAACTGTTTCTCCAACTTGCTCCACATCTGACAGTCCACAGCGTGGCTTCTTCATCACTGCTAGAGTCTCTTCTGTGAGCTCTCCACTTGGAAGCAAACCAAAATACCGTTGCATCTCCTGCACCTTTGTCTTCTTATCACAGGATCCGGTTGTCGAATCATCATCTTTACTTATGTCGGTGGTCCTCTTCTGTCTTTCTGCCTTGGGCTGGTAGCCATAGAAATGCCGCAGATATTCCTGAAGAAAAATAACCGGTATTGCTAAAGTAAATCGGTTGAAATAAACATCTTTACTTTGCTGTGAAAAAGTGTTTCCCCCCCTACATCATTACCTTTTTTGCATTTTTGACACATCACGCCTTAGCTGCTGCTAGCCAGTGTTAGCAAAACTTTCTATGAAGTGGATCTGACACTGCTGCGCTCTGAAACTTTGCAAATTTACTCTCATATGATGTGAGAATGTGGCGTCATTTGGTGAAGCAGACCCTTCTCAATTGATAAACCATACACTAGGTATGATCCTTCATATGTTGAAGTTCTGTTCTCCTCCACCTTTGGGGTATTACTGTATGTGGAGTATGTGGCTAGTCTCTAACCAGATATATAGGATGTGATTAGGAAGAATGACGATGTCAATCATTGCCACTGTATTCAAGATGGTGGGGCAACATGGTGGCTTCCACAAACTGGTGCCCACTCCTGGAGGAGTTAATTCAGAATGTATTGCTGGTAGTTACACACTAGTCAATGAATATTTATGAGTATAACAACCTGTATTGTATTTTTAACAACTGCGTTTATCATTAAAAAACTACATTTTGTATTCAGTTATTTTTTTTGTCTAACATCAAAATTCATTTGATGATCTGAAACATGTAAATATGACAAATACACAAAAAATAAGGAATGATGGCTGGGAAAATGCTTTTTTTCCATAGCACTGTATAAAGTACAAATGTTCACACATTGCCATTGTTGCTGTGGAGGAACACAAATGCGCAACCAGGCCTGAAGTAACTTTACAGTAAGAATTCCAGAAATGTCCTCAGACCTTTAATGATAGCACCGTGCAGAAACACTTTAGCACTCATGTAACTGCAGGTGTCAACATCAGACACACTCAGACTTACCTGTGTACAAGTAGCTGTGTTTCATACTCTCCCTCAGTAGAATCATTGTTATTAATATTATTAAAACTCTATAGAAGGACACCAGGAGCACACATCAAATTTATCTTTAAAATTGGTAGTAAGTAAATGGTTCATAAAGGATTTGATAAAGATGTCTTTTAAAGCTTGTTTGAAATAAAGCGTAAAACTTTCAAATGCACTTCATCAAACAGTAAAAATTCTGTTATTGAAATCAGCTTCAGCATGAACATGACAAGTGTTCTAACAGTGTTATTTATTCACTGCTGCTGTCTCCTGACTGCTGTGTTATCTTGCAGTCAATGTTTTCTTCAGAAGTGGTTCACAGGCATTCACAGGGCACCCTCATAAAGAATCATTATCAGTGCACCACATTTTTCCTCAGGCGAGGCATCAAAGGTGAAGAAGACAAACCAAAAATGAATTAGTTATCCAATCAAGTCACTATATCAAAGAGATTTCTAACAACTTATTATTTATTAAAAGAGAGAGAGAAGAGTTGGTTGGTTTAAGTCATTAAAATAATTAACTGTGTGCAATAATCTAAAAGTATAATCTAATTATATTTATGAAGCCGACTCTATGCAGTTTATAAAAAAAAAACTTAAATTCAAGTCCAGGCAGGACCATTTATCAATATTAACTCTTATTTTCCAGTGTCTGTAATTCCAACCTAAAACGACAGTTTCTTAACGAAAAAAATATATTAAAAGAAATATAGTAGAGCACAGATGTACAGTATAGTATTACTTGAAAAAAGTGTTGATAGTGTAATCTGCACAAATTGTCAGTCAGGTATAACTGCATGTCCTGCCCATACACACTGAAATTAGGTTATTGATTTTCTTCACAAAATGTCAGTTTGATAATGTTTTACTCCTTGAAATACACAGTGACCAGGCCCCAGATACAGCAAATTCCTACAAGCAGCAGTCAGTATTGCACTTGAAGTAGACAATAAAGTGGGGTTCCAGATTAAACCCCTCTATGAGTAAAACAACAATATCGCAGTGCAAAGACCTACAAATATAGCAGCATGCCTTCTTTTCTCTTTTTTTCTTTTTTCTTTTTTGTTACAGGGATCGTATCCTTCCAAAAATGCACAATACCTCTGCAAACTCTTGGTCAGCTGCAGATGGTCCAGGAGGAGGTTTCTTTGGCAGATCTGCTATCCGGAGAGGCAAAGCCATCATTAGAGTTTGGCTGGACATCACAAGAGGCAGGAAATAAAACCAGAGCATCTTCTTTAGCTGTCAAGTATCCCAGCAAGTCAGTATGTGTTTGAGATGCACAGCTGCTGATATACAGTGCTGTATGCAAAGCTGTGGCATGGGTCACATGTTAATTATGTGCTCTTGTCCCAACAAGAACAGGAAGGTGTTTCAGTGCACAGCATGGTATTCCAGAAAGTTTCTTCAAAGAAACACCAGAGCCCTTATTTATAAAGCTTCTCAGGAAAGTGTAGGAAAACAGTCCTAACTGGCCCAAAATTCTTATGTATTCATTCTGCTTTTTTATCAACATTCCTGCCATAGTAGCTACTCCTATCACATCCTGCAAAATTAAAATCACAACGGATGCTACAAAGATTAAATTCAAAATTCTTTAGAATGACTCCATTAAGCATAATCTTGCTATGGTATCTGAATAACACTGTCCATGCTACGAAGAAGAACTCCTTTCAGTTCCTGACTTGGATAAAGTTCCAGTTAAAGCTGTTCAAATTTGAGACGCTACTACTCTCATATCATATCTCATATCTGTGTAATTTGCGTATATACTGTATATTCTGTGTATTTATTATCTCACTCGTATTGCCTGTTTATGCCCTGTCCTTATCTTCAACGTCATGCTGCTCTGTTGTATGTTAACTGCCCCTTGGGGATAAATAAAGTCTTTCTGATTCTGATATCACCACACTGAATAGGTTTTACTTGACTTGTCAGAGAACCAAAGCATCATGATTGGACAATGCAAATTATTATCCAGTTTTTCTTGTCCATAAAACCTTACACATATTATAATATCATTTGTGTGTTTTCTATTTGTTTACTTAATCCATTATCCATGAATTTGAAGCGCTATGGAACATCCATTTAATCATCGCGGTTAACCGAGAGTCAACAACTACGACAGCTAGCCCAGAGGCATGCATTAATGATAGTAATTACCTTTACTGAAATGTCTGCCAGTTAAAAAACAGCTATGCTGTTATCCTGCATTGCTTTTATTTTTGTGCGCATGTCTCCTTTAAATAAAGAAAATGATAATGATGTCACAAATAAGACAATAAATCAGCTGAAGTGGAAAAAAAATGATGTGAATGTAAGGACATGTATAGATTATGTGTCATATTAAAAATTTTGGCTAATGTTGTTGGAACATCAAGCTGACATTTTAAAAGGATTAACAATTCCAAAATAAAGTCAAATTTAAATGCACATGTCACTGTCAACGGGCGCCGACTGTGCGAGAGCGTGAAACAGAGGTGTGGACACAGAAGGAGGCGGAGCAGACTTGGACCAAAAGCAAACTGTTTTATTTAGGCCGGTAAACATGAAAAAAGGTGAACACAGGAGCGACAGCTAACCTGTAACCAGTACTGGGAAACATAAATAAGATAACTGTGACTAAACATCATAACTGTGATAACAATGACTCGACGTGGTAACACAGACGTTGTGACAAAGACAGAATAGAACAGACTAAATACACACAAGGGGCGATCAGGGCAAGTGGAAACACAAGAGGAAACAGCTGACACAAATGAACATAATGACACCACAGGGGAAGTGTAAAAGTAAGCACATTCAAGAAGGGAACGCTAGACTTTCAAAATAAAACAAAAAACACAGAGACGTAGGCATGGGAGCACAAACGAGACAACATTAAACACACAGGCACGAAATACATGACAGACCACCCAGAGAAGACCAGAACAGACTTACAGAAGAGGACATAGATGGACCTAAACTAGAATAGACTCATCTAAGACCTAACTAATAATGCAACACCAGAACTACACATATATTTATAAGAAAACACAATTTACAAAACACACTCAAAATGCTGGGTCAGACCCAGCCCCTGACAGCACAAATGTTTCAACAGTGTTTGGTTGATTTTGATTGCTGTTATCTGCTGATGTTATTGTGTTGCCACAAGATAACGCTGGCTATGTGGATACGTTTAGAGTAATTGCTTTCTTGAGAAATTAGTGTAGTGTAGTCTGAAATGGGCGCCAAGTGTAACTTGACCTGGAGAGCGTTGCACAAGAATTCCAATGTGCATGGACTGTTGGTCCTAGGCGCCAATGGCAAATAAAAATCTTGAATCTTGAACTGGCAGAGATTCACAGGAGAGAAGGGATGAAAAATGTTTTGCTTCAGGTAAGCATTCAAAGGGCAAGACAGAGCAGAAATAAATTAGTCGTCTAATTCCGTTATTATACTTACTTGTTCATTTCTCAAATTTTTACTTAATTGAGTTTCATCAACAAAAATACGTAACTGTTCCCCTGTAATATTCCAAAATTTCCTGGCAGCTCCATTTGCTCACATTAAAGTGTTATTTCACAGTGTCTGTGACTGCAATCCAATAGTTCCTTATTGTAACTTTATGTTACAATGCTTTTAACAATTTGCTTTTCATTTGACTTTATTTCAGTGTTCAAAGTGGAGTCTCCAGCAAGAGTTTATTATAACTGCATGTCTTATCCCCAATTTCAGGTTTCTTGCTTTCTTGAGTGTGCGAGTTTGGCATGAGTCAGTCACAGCTTGCATCACACACGACTCATTTTAAAAACTGCCACTGTAGACAGCAGCTAAATATTGTTCTTGGCCCATAAACACTGGAAACCACGCAACACAGTATAAACACAAAGCAACAACAATCATCAAAGTACTTCAAAGAGTCCATACGATACTAACAACAAAATCAATAATTGTAGGGCTATGATTATTACTTTTGATCATTTAAATACATTTTGCAAGCAATTAATGTGCAGTGATATAGTGCTGTTATTACAATGAAAGACTGCAGCAGCACTTACAATACATTACTGACAATGTTGTTATTTTACAGTGTATCTAGTGTAAAGTGTCACAGTATGATACTGTCAGCTGATTGTTGTCACTGTAGTGTTCTTGCTTTGTTTTTTTAAACTGTAACAACATATCAGCTTTGTCATAACTGCTTCACTATGTGCATCCCATAATTATACTACTGCCGCTGTATTCATTTTAACAGCTACGCTGAATGTGAACACAGGCCGGATGTGATTCATCACTACAGTAATCTTGGCTATGTTTGCACAATACCAGTTAAACCCTAACACAGGGACACTGGAAACCACAACTAAAAAAATAACAATAATAGTACTATCGGTTTTTCTTCTTTTCTCATTATTTTTTATTTAAGCCCAGCTGGAAAAGTTAAAATATTATTCATGAACAGACATAGAACAACTGCACATGTATTCAGTAATAAAAAGTGTGTCAGGTTCCTGGATGACGTCAAAGCCAGCAGACATGCTGGAGGTGCTCTCAGCTCTTTTTAGCTGTTGGGCATTTACAGCAACTCAGGCATTCCCAACATGAGTCATCTTGGCTTGACAATGCCTCACCCAGAAGTAATCTGTGGGACGCCCACCTGAACCGGCACCACAGCCACCATGCCAGCCAGCTTTTGAGGAGCAATTACTGAGTCAGAGGGAATGGGAAACTTGGGAAAAGTTGTAAATCACGCTCATTAGGGCTCGATTACACATCATGATACTGGCTCAGATATCTTCTTGCTGGCCCCACAGGCTTAAACCTCTTCTTGTTGTTCTTTGGAAATATCTGGTGATTGATCCTGATTTAAAGTTAGCCCTTTGTCTAACTGATAGTATATAACGTGTGTTACGAATGCACGGTGCACATTATGTTGCGCATGACTTTGAGAAAGATGAACATATGGAAATAATTTATAGTTCTTTCTTTCTGACAGTATAACAGAGACTATTTAGAACTATCTGTATTTATTTAATGTCAGCTATTAATATCAAAAAGAGTCTTTGAAACTTGAAAGAAACAGAGAAATTATGCATCCCAGCCAACAGGATAAGAGTGGGAATTTTTACAGACTGCTCACTTCAGTTGAGTGGTGTTTTCGCCTCTCTGTCACCACACTAGTGGTGCCAGATGTATCCATAAAACTTAGTGGAATTCCCCTATGGGTCTTTTTACAGCTTATGATGAGGATAATATGACAGTTTCTTCAGTAACATCCCGCATACCACAACCCTACTGAAAATGAGCTGACTCTAGAAGGATACCTCAATACCACAGTGTTTGTGGATGATACCCAAACACTTATTGTCACAACGGGACTGCACGGACTCACGCGCAGGCTCTAAGTTTTGAAAACACAAGAGTCTTTATTACAGCAACACCAGGTTATTTACAAAGGTGAGGGGAAAGCCAGGCTCCACACACAAATGGGGAAAGATGCTGAAAGTCCACACACACTCCATCCACGCTTCACGCTCCTCTTCACACTCCACGCACACTGGATCGCTTGGGAAACACAAGGGTTGGTCCAGGGAATCTGGACACAGAGACATGAAGGGATTACAAAGGAAGATCGCTGAGAAACACTCTAGAGTGAACTGAGCTGGGGTTACACTGACGAGGGTCGGCAACGGTCCAGCGACGAGAAACACAGAGCTGCCATCTTAAAAAGGAGCTGGAACACTCTCAGGTGATGAGCCACAGGTGCGTGATTGCGACCAGGTGCGTGGGCCAAGGGCAGGAGCCCACAGGTGAGCTCCGCCCAGGCAGAGAGAGGAGGGAGAGAGAGGAAGGGAGAGAGCAGGAACAAAAATGAAAATAAAAACATATGTAGCCATACTGAGCCGACCGGGTAGGCACAGGGACCCTGACACTTATTCAGTGAAGCTGAAGTTGTAATTATGAAGCTGAGGTTATAGTTATGTTGTAATATAGAATATAACAGTCCATTCCAAGTACAATGCAGTCCAATAAATGTGGGCACACTGACCTACTTACGTGCTGTTAAATATCAGGATTTAACTCATCTTCCTTGCAAAAGTAATTTAAAGAAAATGGAATTAGATGTACCCAGTTTAACAGTAAGGGGTCTTAGACAGTTAAAATATTGGGCAAAAGACAACATCAAAGAAGACACT